TACCTTGTGCTAGGGACTTCCTGTGCTCCTGTATTACTCAGGATGGTATATACTCTTTGCTCATGAGTTGGTCCTGAAACCCCATCTGTTGTCCTGGATCTCTCCTAGCACCATTTGTGTTAGTTTGGGTTCCCTGCCAAGATAAAATTTGACATGTGTATTGGTTTCTTAGGGTTGCTGTAACAAAATACCACAGGCTGGGTGGCTTGAACAATAGACATTTATTTCTCACAGTTCTAGAGGATAGAGGTCTAAGATCAAAGTGTCAACAGATTTGGTTTCTTCTGAGGCTTCTCTCCTTGGTTTGCAGATAGCCATCTTCTGTGTCCTCACATGGCCTTTCCTCTGTATGCATCTGCCTCTTGTGTTTTTGTGTATTAAAAAATATTTTGTAAGGATGTCAGTCAGTTTGCATTAAGGGTCTACCTCAGTTGAACTTTTAAGATCCTCTTTTAAGATCCTATCTGCAAATACAGATTTGGAGGAACTGAGGGCTAGGGCTTCAACGTCTCAACTTCAGGAAGGACACAATTCAGTCCATAACAAGTAAAACATTTATTGGGGGAAATATCTGTGAAAGATAAATGGGAAGGAGGGCTGGGGTTGTGGCTTAGTGGCAGAGCGCTTACCTCACACACATGAGGCAGCACCACATAAAAATAAGTAAATATAATAAAAATATTTTTTAAAAAAAGATAAATGGGAAGGGAGTAGGAGCAAGTAGAAGAGCCTGCAGTCTATGATACAAATTTGACATCTACGAAGAAGAGGGGAAAGGAAAGCACTGGGTAGGAAGTCTTAGACTGCAACACAGTTCTAAGACCGTTTCAGCTAGGCTGATGAGTTGTCCTCACATGAAGACTGCCCATCAGAGAAGTCCCAAATTATGCATTCCTGAGCCTGCATTAGTACTTCTGCCATGCTCAGTCATTGCCCAGGACTGGTCAATTATATTTCTAGAGCAGTATGCAAGAATCAAGCTAGTCCAAACTCTAACATTTTGAGTTAAAAACTTTTGTTATTTAAAAATATTCCTTATGGGGGCTGGGGATGTGGCTCAAGCAGTAGCGCGCTCGCCTGGCATGCATGCAGCCCGGGTTTGATCCTCAGCACCACATACAAACAAATATGTTGTGTCTGCCGAAAAAACTAAAAAACTAACTAAATAAAATTCTCTCTCTCTTAAAAAAAATTCCTTATGTGTAATCTGAATTGAAATGCATTCTGCTATCATATATAACAAATTAGAATAAATTAAAAATAAGTAAATAAAATTAAAGAGCAATGATAAAAAAAAACTTTGAAAAAATTACTACAAAATGATGGAGGCAAAAACTCTTATGTAGAGAAGTGGCCAAATCTAAAATATCTTTTTATGTTAACAACACTTTGTAGAAATGTGGACAGTTGGATTTGTGGAACATAAAATTTAGGAAGATCAAAGATATCTTGATTGATCTGAAATAACTTTAAAAATTCTCCACATATTTTCTGCCATTGACTCAGGAATGTCTGACATAAACAACATATCGTATTTGCTAATAAATCTATTTTCAATATTTATTGGGCTATTCACTTTGCAAAATTATTTCATTTTCTTCTAGTTTGGAATGAGGTTTCTAATTTTTAATTGGAAAAGCATAATGGTTTATTGTAACATAGTTTAGATCTTGTGTTTTATCTTTAAAATAATTATGGCAGCTTTTAGTTAGGGGATCATTTCCCTTTCTTTGCAAAATTGTCCAAAAAAGTACCAAAATATTTGAGAGCTCTCATTCTGTGGGTGAATATAGGACTTTCATTAATGTTCAAATGACATATTTCTCCCAAATGGAATAGCCCTTCTAATCTGTCAATAAATCACTTAGAAAGATTGTGACTAACAAACTTTTGTCCATTTATTGAAAAAAATACTGTAAAAATTTTAAGAGTGGGGATTTGAAATAGTGAAGTTTCCTACTCCTCTAAGTCAGGGCTGGAGTATAGTTTAGTGGTACAGCACTTGCCAGCATGTGTGAGGCCCTAGGTTTGATCACCACCATCATAAAAAAACAAACAACAATAACAAAAAACCTATATGCTTCTCTGTGACACAAACTAATCTTTGTGCATCTAGAATATTAATAGCAAACAACAAGTACTTGTTTGTTTATTCAACAAATGTATGTAGAGCATCTAATATATTCCAGGTGGTAGGCTGAGTAAGACACAGTGCTGGGCCTCAAAGCACTCACATTTCAATTACTTTTCTTTTTTAAAAATATTTATTTATTTAGTTGAATTGGATGCAATACCTTTATTTTATTTATTTATTTTTATGTGGTGCTGAGGATCGAACCCAGGGCCTTGCATGTACTAGGCAAGAGCTCTATTGCTGAGCCACAACCCCAGCCCTCAATTACTTTTCTTTTTGTCTCCTCTTAACTTTAAAATGTACATAATATAAATTTTACCTATTCAACCATTTTTAAGCATTTAATTCAGGGGTGTTAAGTACATTCATGTTATTTGAAAATTCCCACCACAATCCTTCTCCAGAACCTTTTCGTCAACCCAAAGTGAATCTCTGTTCTCACTAAACAATAACTAATCATTCCCCACTTCTCCTACTTGTGGAAAACTACTATTATACTTCCTGTGTCTATGAATTTGACTATGATTCTCATATAAGTAGAATCATATTTGTATTTTTGTGTTTGACTTATTTTACTTAGCATAATGTCTTCAAGCTTATTCAAAGTTTTAGAGTGTATCAGAATTTCATTCATTTTATTTTAATTTTTTAATTTCTTGGTACCAGAGATTGAACCCAGGGGCACTTTACTATTGACCTACATCTCCAGTCCTTTTTTTTTTTTTTTTGAGACAGGGTCTCACTAGGTTGCTAAGGGTCTTGCTAAGTTGCCCAGGCTGACCTCAAACTTGTGAGCCTCCTGCCTCAGCCTTCTGAGTAGCTAGAATTACAGGCCTATGCCATCAGGCCCAGCACTAACAGAAGGACATATGGTTCAACTTTTAGTGAAACAATTATTATTGAACATTTATCGGCAAGACATTATACTAGGTGCTGGATTTTTGTGCACCTAGATTTCCCTTCTTACCCACAATGAGCTACCTGTGACTCCCCTTCATTTATGTTATATGTAATACAAACATTTAACCAGAGAAACTGAATACATTTTGTAAGACATTTACCATTATTTCTGATATTTTAGAGGCTGCAGAGTACCTTGCATGCCTAAGAGTTCAGGAAATATACTTAAGTACCCATAATAGTAAAGAACTTCTAAAGAACAGGTGTAGTGAATTTATAAACACTTTTCAATAAAGCTATTGTCAAGCTGACAAGAGTCTGTCAGAAACCTGACAAGAAAGCTAAAAGGTGACCACTCTTAGAAATCTAACAGAATCCTAAGGACTAGACTATTACCTGGAATTTCTCCTCAGTTTTAATAGTGCCAAACATCTGATTTGCTAGGAGATTACAAAACTAAATTTCTATTGAATTCAGGAAGGAAGCCAGAAAATAAATGTTGGAGAAAAGATATTATTACCCAAAAGGCATATTTCTACATTTCCCCCACCATTGAAATGCCTTGGTGACTTACAAACCTAATGTAGGGCCAAGTATGGCCTGGAGAGGTTAAAGATTTGACTAGTACTATCACATTAATAGCCAGAAATGGAACATTGATATTTCTCTTCCAGGCAAATATTTCCCATTAAATGATTTATTCCTTCCTCTTACAGACCTTGCATTTCATTAAACTATAATAGACAAATATAAATTGTGCATATTTCTGGTACAGAACATGATGTTTTGATATATGTATCTGTTTGATTAAATCAAGCTAATTAATATATCCATCATGTCACTTTTTTTTTTAATATTGAGAACATTTAGATCTACCCTGTTAGCAATATTCAAGTATTTATTGTTAACTTAGTCACTCTGCTGTGTAATACATGTCTAGAACGTATTGGTCTCATCTGAAACTTTGTATCCTTTGACGACCATCTCCCTACCCACCCATCATATACTTAACTGCCTCTTTCTTAAACAAATAATTGATTTACAGTATTTCTACGAAGCTATGAAGTTGCTCTTCTATCCTTAGGGAAAAGAAGCAAGAAGCAGAGAAAAGGAAGGCTCTTATTTTTCCTGAGTAACAGAAAAATTGAATCCAGGATCTTGAGCTCTGGATAGTCAGGTCTGAAACCTGTAGGGGGTGGCTGGAGGAGGGAATCCAAAGTAAGAGCTGGTTCAATTGCCATAAACGGCAGGCAAGCAAAATTCATGCGGAAATTTGAAGACTTTATTTTATTTTTTTTGGCGGGGGGAGTACTGTGGATTGAACTCAGGGGCATTCAACCAATAAACCACATCCCCAGCCCTATTTTACATTTTAATTAGAGTCAGGGTCTCACTGAGTTGCTGAGTGAGGCTGGCTTTGAACTCGCGATCCTCCTGCCTCAGCCTCTCGAGCCTTGGGATTACAGGCGTGCACCACCGCGCCCGGCCTGAAGATTTTCTTACAGACTAAAACCCACCAACTTTTCTCAACAAACGTGCCAGTTTAGCTGAAGGGCCCAGCACCCACTGGAGGATTCGCATCTTCGCTAGAGTCCCCCGCAGAGCCTGGAGACAGCTGAGTCCACAGAGCGCGGAGTCCTGCGAAGAGCTGGACAGGTGAAACGCGAGGAGGAAACGACATCAAAGCCCTCTAGCTGATATTAAGGGAACAGGCGACGCACCTATAAGTCTGGATTCGCACAAACTCTCCGAGCTGCCCAACTAGGGACTGGCTCAGACCTCCAAAAGGCTTACTCTCACCACACGCCTCGAGTTCCCAGCGCCCTTAGCAACCACCCGCAAGGTAAAGCGGAAGAACGCCTCTTGTCCCGCCCCATCAGCGCTAGCTGAGGTCCGCCGAGGAAGCGCGTTGGCCCAATCACCTCTCCGAGAACTAAGACCGGCCAATAGGAGACAGGCGCAGGAGGGCGGGCTAAAGAGGTCGCGGGCACACGCGCAGTTGGGAGCAGAAGGGGGCCTTAGGTGCTGTGGCCGTGTGGTTTAGTTGGGTGCTGTTGGAGTCGTGTTGGTCCTCGGAATTCCCTCGTAGCCACTGCCACCTTCCCTCGTCCTCGCTATGTTCCTCACCCGGTCCGAGTACGACAGGTCTGTGCAGCATGGAGAAAACGGGTCGGGATTGTGGGTAGGTGGGTGGGCCCCGGACCCGGCCGCGGCCTGGGTTCTGCAGTGTCATGGGGCGCCCCGGGAACCCGGGTCTGGCCAGACCTGGCGATCTCTTGCCCTACCCAGGCCCTCCGGTGATTCCCCAAGCTCATCCGGAGCAAATCGGCCGCACTTGCTCTACAGCTGAGTCACTACTGACTCTTAGTGCGGAAGCGAGAAGCTCGGGTTTGTGCTGGGGGAAGAAGCTGAAGGGGCCCAGAACTCCGACCTTTAACCCGGAGAAGATTAGGGGGTCACCCCTCCCCAGTTTACCTTTTCGTGCTAAGAATGACTTTTTTTTTTTTAAGTGCTGCTTGGAATAAAAAGCAACTGAAGACTATTAAATCTGTTTATAATAGGGCATGCTAGGATGTACAATTTCTGCAAAAGCGCACAGGCTAGATCTCAGCTATGCCCAGATATGTTGTCTGGTCTCTTGATTTTATGTGAAGCAGAATTTAGAAAGGTTATCAGGAGTTTTCCCATCCAGCTGGTTTCGCTTGACCAGGGTTTTTCTGACTTTTGTAAAGCTTTAAAGCAAATTTAGTGTTGTTGAAAACCAAATGTAATGTTTTCAAAATTCAGAATTGTGAGGTTGTATTTATTTAAAAGTTTGGGTTTTTTTTTTTTTCCCCCTAGAGCTTGGAAATGCTAAGTAATACTGAATGTGCTGTAGATATTTTTACTTTCACTTTCTATTTGATCAGATAAGTTTTCCAATGGCTGTTTAAGTTTATTAAAAAGCTAGAAAAAGACATTTTCTTTTGTACCAGATAAATTGAGAAGCTGCTTTCCTTGTCAAGTATATGTTGACCCTGTCGTGGTTTCATCACCTGAAGCTACCACTTTTCATCCCTCTACTGACTCATAGAAGGTGTATGAGAAGTTTTAAAACCAACATTTTTTCTCTGCCAAGTAAAATGTCTTTGTTAGTGAGTATTTAGCTTCTAGGGCATTGCAGAGAATCATGTTGGGTGATAAAATTTTGAATTAAGTGTATATGGGAAAATTGTGTTCCTTTTCAGAAACCCTTTATTAAACCTTGTAGTCGGGCTGGGGATGTGTGGCTCAAGCGGTAGCGCGCTCGCCTGGCATGCGTGCGGCCCGGGTTCGATCCTCAGCACCACATACCAACAAAGATGTTGTGTCCGCCGAGANTCGATCCTCAGCACCACATACCAACAAAGATGTTGTGTCCGCCGAGAACTAGAAAATAAATGTTGGAAAATTCTCTCTCTCTCTCTCTCTCTCTCCTCTCTCACTCTCTCTTTAAAAAAAAAAAAAAAAAAAAAAAAAAAAACCTTGTAGTCATTTGCTAAACATATATATGTTGATTGTTTTGTGTTGTTTTCATACCTTCTCAAGAATGCCTAAAATACAGCTGCCCCACCCCTTCCCTTTTGCCAGGAATTGATTCTAGGGGCACTCTCTACCCCTGAGCTATACATACCCCAGTCCTTATTTTGACACAGGATCTGGCAAAGTTGCCCAGACTTGCCTTGAACTTGGTATCCTCCTGCGTCAGCTTCCATAATCACTGGGATTATAGGTATGTGCCATGTGCCTGGCAAATATAGCCCTTTCTTATTTGCTTAACTAATGTACTTGAATATTTTTTGTGTACAAGGCACACTGTTTTGGGTTCCAATGGTACAGCAGTGTATGAGATCAAGATACTTGCTCTTGTGTAGGAGACTATCTTATAAAGAACTATTTACAAAAGTAACTAGTAGGAGACAGAAGTGTATTGACGACATCAGAGGAATTGAAATCAACACTGGAAGTTCTGATGAGAGGTTGCATTTAATATTAGGGATTCATGGAAAACTTCACAAAGGAGCTAATATTTAAGCTGGTATTGAAGGAAGGATTTTAATAAAGACAGTGAAGAGTCAATAGCTTTTAGTTTGAGAATATAGAATGAACAAAGGAGGGGAAATAAATAAGAAAGCATAAGACATGTCTGAGAAAAGTCTTGTCTGACCAGCACATATGATACATGTTATAGGAATAAATAGTAAGAAATATGGGGAAGACAGAATTGTGCTAGATATTGGCTGGTATTTAATATTAGGTTAAGGAGTTTGGGTTTCACTCTAAGCAACTAAGTGCTGTTAATTTATTTCAGAAGTTACATGATCAAAATTGTGTCCGTCACCCCCCCCCCCCCCCCCCCCCCCCCCCCCCCCCCCCCCCGCAAAACACATTCTCAGCCCTTTTAAAATTTTTTTAAATTTTGAGACAGGGCCTTACTAACTTACCTGGGGCCTTGCTGAGGCTGGCTTTGAACTTGGGATCCTCCTGTCTCAACCTCCTGAGTTGCTGGGATTACAGGTTTTTGTCACTGTGCCTGGCCATACTTTGTGTTTTATAGAAATTACTTGACTGGGTTGGAGGAAAGAGTGAGTACCAGTTAGGACACTGTTATAATAGGTGAAAGGTAGAGTCAATACCAGTTAGGTGGCTATTACAATAGTTAGGTGAAAGGTAATGAAAGTAATGAGAATGGAAGGAAGAGTGATTGTTACTGTGAAGAGGTATTTCCTATGAATTGGTATGACTTGTCATATAACAGAATATGGGAGAAGATGGGGAGGAATGGTTCAAATCATTCAGAACTTTCTAGTTTGGGGAACAAGGAGGTTGGTGGAGGTGTTTTAAAATAAGACAACTAGGAACAGTGAAAGATGAACCTGAGTTTCCAAGGTGACAGTATTTGAAGAGAAATATTTCAGATTGGAGAATGTTGAATGTTAGCTGCTAATAGAATATCCAAATGGAAATGTTGATCAGGAATTTAAATTAATTAGGAAATAAGTCAAACTGGTAATAGAGATTTTGGATTTTCATAGCATCTATGAAATGGCTGAAGGAGATAGTAAAGTTTGGGAAGATGGCCAAGACCAGAGCCCCATAGTTTGTAGAATTATTTCATACTCAGCAAATCAATTTTCCAATGTATTATGATAAGGCAGGACGAGCATTATCCTTTTTTTGTTGTTGTTTCTGGAGTTAAAAGCAAACAACTGGCAAAATTAGAACTCAATCCTGGGTTTTCTGACCTCAGACTTTTCTTTCAGTGGTTTTTAAACTGTTCTTTAGAGCTCTGAACTTCCTTTTAAATGGCTACAGGGATATTAAACACAGCAAATGAGAGCTAGGATGGTGGAATTCTCTCTCCACCCCCCCGGTTTAGCTAGTTTAATTCTCATAGGCAGGATAGTGGAACTGTTGAGGACTTGGTCTCAGGCAGTATGACTTATTGCTTAAATTCTAACTCCAGCTCTACCTTTTATATGTTGTGTAACTTTGGGCAACTTACTTAACCTCTATATGCCTCAATTTCCTCATCTATAAACTACTATCTACCTTAGAAGACTATTTCTTAGGACCACTTAGAGGATTAAGTGAGTTAAGTCATAAACCAGACATATAGAGAATGATCAGCAAGTGCCAACTTTTATTATCTGTTTTACATTTTGGGGCCACATATAAAATTTTCTTGGAAAAAAACAGGTGTTTGGTTAGCTGGGGTTGTGGCTCAGTGGTGGAGCACTTGCCTCAATGTATGAGGCACTGGGTTTGATCCTCAGCACCACATAAAAATAAATAAATAAAATAAAGGTATTGTGTCCATCTACAACTAAAATTTTTTTAAATACTTATTTTTTAGTTGTAATTGAACACAATATCTCTATTTATTTATGTGGTGCTGAGGATCGAACCCAGGGCCTCTCACGTGTGAAGCAAGCGATCTGCTGAGCCACAACCCCAGCCCCTAAAAATATTTTTTTAAAAAGAGTTTTGGTTAAACAAATTTGAGAATATTGTACTATATGCTACCTATTATAAAGTTCAGACTCCATTAACCAGGTGTTATAAGCATTTTCATTCATTTGTACTTTTTTTTTGTAAAGATAGACACAACATCTTTATTTATTTTATTTATTTTTATGTGGTGCTGAGGGTTGAACCCATGCCTCACATGTGCGAGGCAAGTGCTCTACCACTGAGCTATAACCTCAGTACCTCATTTGTACTTAAAAAAAAAAATTAAAAAATTGTTTTGGTTCCAGGAATTGAACCCAGGGGCACTTAACCACTGAGCTGAATCCCAGCCCTTTTTTATATTTTATTTTAAGACGGCCTCACTGAGTTGCTTAGAGCCTCTCTAAGTTGCTGAGGCTGGCTTTGAACATATGATCCTCCTGCCTCAGTCTCCCAAGTTGCGTGCACCACCATGTCCAGCTAAGTTATTTTTTGAGTGTTTATTGTATGCTGAAAGCTTGTATATGTACACTATGATTGGTGCCTTGTCTCCATAAGAACAAGAAAAGGTGGAGGACATAGTTTAGGGTGAAAAGCAGTCTGACAGTAATCTATTAAGTGAATGAACTGGGTTAAACTCTTAGTGTATTGTTACAATAACAGTATTACTTCCTATAAATAACTAGAGAAAAGTACCTGTGAATAACTTGTGCTTAAAAATAAGATTTTAATGTCAAATGCACATAATGGGAAGGGGATAAGGAATAATACACATTTCCTTGGTAATTGCATGGTAATTTTGTGACATGAACTTATCACAGGAATTGGTAAATTGATTCAGGATTGATCTAGGTTAATTTAGAATTGAGGCAGAAAATTCACCTCCTCTCATTGATCAGTTTGGGAAGACTTGGTGAGAGTGGGGCAGAAGTGTTCTATAGTGCCTTAAAGGACTGTACATATTTGTTAATGTACAAAAAAGAAAAAAGGCTAAAAGCCTACAGATTGCCTCAAGAAGTTCTATTGTCTTATACTGTTAATGTACAAAAAAACCCATGAGATTGTTGTGGGCAAAGTATAGAGTAATGAAAACATACATAGCCTATAGTCATCTAAGCTAGTTAAAGAATTTGATTTTGGGGGGCATACTGGGGATTGAACCCCCAGGGATGCTTTACCACTGAGCTAAATCCCTGGACCTTTTTTTATTTTTGTTTTGAGCTAGAATCTTGCTAAATTGCTGAGGCTGGCTTCAAATTTGGAATTCTCTTGTCTTAGCCTCCCAAGTTGCTGGGATTATAGCAGCTGTGTGCCACCGCACCCAGCAAGAAACTTGAGTTCAGTGTCTGTCTATATGATTCACTTTTTTTTGACAGTTTTTTAATACTTTTTTTTTTTAATCAATTACAGGGGCGTGAATACTTTTTCTCCTGAAGGAAGATTATTTCAAGTGGAGTATGCCATTGAAGCTATCAAGGTATTTTAGCAAGTAGCATAGATTTTGAAATTATGGCAACCTCACATTTTGCTAGCAGAACATTTGAGTAAATGTGTTTAGCCATTCCTTTAGATAGTGTTTTCATATATCTCTTTAACCAGCCATTATTAACTATTTTTATAACAATTTCAATCCTATTCCTAACATCTATATTAAAACTTTTTGAGCAGGTTAGTAATTCATAATTATTTAATAAGCTTTTTCTAGTGGGGATGGAGGTACATGTTTAGGTTTATAATCCTCTGGGATATAAAGAGGGTGTAGAAATCTAGTGTTGACCCTTCTGTTACTTGATCAAATCATGTAATTAATTACCTCTATTTTCTTGTTGGTAAAGTTTTGAATTGGTACTAGGTACTAGGGACTGAATAAAAGATAAATTGATCTAGTAACATAAAATCAAACATGTAGCAAACATTGTTCCACAAATTAGTAAGATGTCTATACTTAAAATTGGTTATCCTGTAGAAACTATATTTGTTAAATTATGGGTAATCTAAATAGCTTTTCAATTGGTAAATGTTTAAGGAGAAACAAAGAGTTGTAGGAAACATGTATCTAAAATCTTCAAATATTGTGTTGAAAAGCAATCTATGGGGAATGCTTAGAAGAAAGAAAGTAAAACAATGTCCAGGCCCCACCCCAGAAATTCCAATTTATTTATTTATCTGGGTTAAGGCCCAGACAACAGGCCTCAGTTTTTCTATACTTAAAAGAAGTTGAAAATCAGTGATCTAGTCCAAACCTTCACTCTGTTTGAATTATCTATATAGTTCTAAACAGCATCTATTTGTAGAGTTCTAGTGGCAGGTATTTTCTCACAAAGTAGCTCATCCTGTTTGAAATAGTTCATGGTGGTTTAGAGTTTATCCTCAAATCAAAATCTAACTTCCTGAAGATTCTTTCAATTTGTCCTAGTTTTTTTTTTTTTGTACCAGGGAATGCACCCAGGGGCACTTTACCACTGAGCCACATCCCCACCTCTTTTTATATTTTATTTTGAAACAGGGTCTCACTAAGTTGCTGAGGCCTCTCTAAGTTACTCATGCTGGCCTTAAACTTGTTGTCCTCGTACCTCAGCCTCCCTAGCCACTGGAATCCTAGTTTGCCTTTGATCACATAGATTTTCCATAGGACAATTCCTCTTAGAATTAAAATACCTGAAGAAAGGTATTTTGTTTCTCAGTTACCTTTGCTACAAGGAGTAGGAAAGCTGGGGGTAGTGGCGATGCCTATAATCCCAGTGACTAAGATTAATCCCAGACTGAGGCAGGAGGATCTCAAGTTTCAGGTAAGTCCAAGCCTTAACAATTTAGGGAGACCCTAAACAACTTAGTGAGACCCTGTGTCAAGAAAATAAAAAGGGATAGGGATGTGGCTCAATTGTTAAGTGCCTCTGCATTCAGTCTTTAATACCAAAAATTTTAAAAAAGAAAAGGAATCTGGGAAAGGGGAAAGAGATTCTGGTTAGCTGAAGTCATAGAAGTGAAAGTGGAAACTTAGTGTTACTGGTGCAGAAAATGATGTGCCAGCTGCAAGTGCCTTTTTCTATTCTGATGTCTTTGCTTTGTGTTGAAAATATTACTACGAAGTGTCAGACCATCAGAAGTCCAAGCTGTATATTAATCTGGGGCCCCAGCTAAGACAATAGTTCTGCCTGGATGTGCAAGCCAAGAGTAAACCACAGCTTTTAAAATTCCTTAGGGTCAATAATTTCTAGATTATCTAGAGACTATAAAGTATCTGATCTTTGTAGTCATAAGTTGAGCTAGGATAGAAATAGTAATATGGTCCTTAATTAATGAGACCTAACCATTGTGAAAATTAGGTGCTTAGAAGTTAAACAGTCTGTTTATTGCTTTGGCAACTCATGCATGCGTGGCCAATGAGAAAGCATTTTGCTAACCATTAAGACTTGAGTTGTATCAGAGGAACTAGAGAACAACTGACCATTGAAATGTTGATACTGAATGGTATAGGTGAAATGTATCCAGCAAAGAAAAGGAAAAAAGTGCGTACGAGTAGGTGTTTTTGGGTTTGGGGAAGGAGTGGAATCAATGTTAATGTCAAAATAGCTATATTCTATCAAGCCTATCCATATTGGTTCCTATGCTAGTTAGTTATATTCAAGAAATACTACATAGTTCAAATGTTCTCTCGCTTCCTCCTCTCTCCAGTTCCCACAAAGATAGGTAGGAGAAATTTAGATAGAAGTATAATATTGAAATATCTGGAAGGAAATATAAATGTAAAATGAAATTTTTTTGAATTTGGTATATTTTAGAAAATATCCTATCTCAGAAATATTGACCTTTTTTAGATTGGAATATATAAAACAATTAGAATAACTAAACACTATGTGGAATTTTCTGGCGATGGGTTTCTGAATGTTTGTTTTAAAATTTTTAAGTGCGTATACATGTGATATTAGAGTCAGAAGGCAAAATAGTTCTATAAATTGCATAACAAAAACAGCAATCCCTGAAGCTTGCCCATCTATTTTCAGCTTCCCAGAGGCAATACTTTAAACTGTCTTAGCTGATAACATTCTTGGTATTATATATCTAGACTCAGACTTACTTTTTTTTAATCAGACATTATCCACAGACTTAATAACAGTTCTAAATAAAGTCTCAACTTTACATATTTGAAAAATAATGTGTGAGACATCGTTTAGTCTGTAGACATGGTAAGCCTATTATACATAAAGATTGATGGAGTTCTTTGGAACCCTTTGTAATAATGGGCTCAAGTCTGATGCTCATATTTGGCAGTTATTGCTTTATAGACCTAACTAAATATAATGGAAATTCAGAGGAGAGAGCGGTCATATGCAAGGCTTTATGAATAAAGAAGAAAATTTGGAGAGGCAGAAGGAAAACTGTATTCCAGGGGAGATTGCTTTAGCAGGTGTGCAAGGCTAAGTGATAATAATGGCTTGAACAAATGGGGTAGGCTATACCTGAGGGAGGAGTTTTGTTGGAGAATATTGAGTAATGAAGTTGGAAGGGAAAGGTGGCCTTAGATTAGCAGGGAGCTGGAAGCTTACTTAGATATTGCTATAGATAATACAGTGAGATATTAGTTCTTGAGAGAAGAAATATAAAAATAGCATTTTATTAGATTAGGCTGTACCATGAATGATGCATTGCAGTTAATGATTAAGGATGAGACTATAGGCTAGGGATTAACTCAGTGGTGGAGTGCTTGCCTAGCATGTTCAAGGCTCTGGATTTGATCCCTAATACCACATAATAAGTAAATAGATGAGACTGTAGAAGTCATATAATAACACTTGTTGAATTATTATATGGTAGATTCCACTTTATGTATTAATTCATTAATGTTTATCCTTCTTGATGTAGGTATTATCCTCATTTTGCAGGTGGGAAACTGAGACATGTAGAGGTTGATGACTAGGAGTATTGCATAGAGACAGAGATGAATTTAAGCTCTACTGGATTAAATTAATGAGCTTAGATTAAATTTGTATTTTAATGTTGTCAGTAGTGATGGTGGTCATTCCCCCCGCCCCCACGTCATATAGGTTTGGGGAATGTCCTCTTTTGGGACAGACCAAAATGGACAGCAAAGGTGAAAAGAGACAAAGTACAGAAAAAAGTTAGGATTTTATTACTTTCTTGCCCTCTCTGTTTAGAACTTTAGAATCCCTTTCTCCCTTCTAAAATTGGCATTAGAAGGGATCATTTTCAGATGATTTAAAGACTATTAGACTTCCTTTTCAGAAGCTCAGAATTCTATAAATCTATGGTCTTGCTATTGACAGGAGCATTGTATTATTTATTAGGGTGTTTCTTGTTCTCTCTGCATACTAGCCATGGATAATCAAAGTTTCGGTCTGGTGAAGATGTACAGAGAGATTTCTGGTGAACATGTGACACTGTTTTTTGATTTGTACATGGTAACCATAACATGTTTCTTTTTAGCTTGGTTCTACAGCCATTGGGATCCAGACATCAGAAGGTGTATGCCTAGCTGTGGAGAAAAGAATTACCTCCCCACTCATGGAGCCTAGCAGCATTGAGAAAATTGTAGAGATTGATGCCCATATAGGTAAGGAGTAGGGGAAAGCTGTTTTGTAGGAATCTTGACTGGGTTTATTAGTTCTGTGTTGTTCTAAAGGGGAGATTCATGAGATGAATGCCTTGTCCCCTGGCTAGCTATCATTTTCCAGGCAGTAGGCCAGTGTGCTTAATTTTAGGAGTAGAAAGCAGTTACAGAGCAGGCTGTCATGTGTGAGAGACTAGGGTGTCAACTAAGAAAAGAGAAATTCTCAAGTGGAAGGTCTAAGGTTCTGAGAATTATAAGAGTAATAGACTTTGATAGAACTTGTATGTGGTTTTGTTTAGCTTGTGGACAAAGACTTAAGGAACCTCCCCCGGGCTGCTGAGAGATCAAATTTTAAAGGGCAAATGGTCTGGTTCCCTTCTACCACCTTGTTACTGGGTGCCTAAGAGCCTGAGGATGGGATGGAGTTTGGGAGCTTGAGGTGAAAAAAACAAATCCTCTTTTGCAACCCAGAACTCATTGTTCAGTATGAGTTTGATACATGTAAGCAGGAATATTATTCCTAAGACAGCTTAAAAGTGATGGGATATTGATAACTAAAACGATTGGTTCTAAGACTAACAAGTTGATAAAAAGCACAGGTCATGAGAGAAATCTCAGCTGTATTGATTTCAGTATTCCATTTTTCATATTGTGACACAAGATGGCAGCTAAAGGGGGGAAAAAGTATTTTAGACTTTGATCAGATCAGTCTTCCTGTTTTCAGATTTATCTTTTTATTCCTTATCCTCCCCTCCCCACTTTCTTTGGTCTTTACTGTAATTCTCTTGCCTTGGCTTCTGACATTGTAGTATTACAGGGTGAATAGTTCTGTTTATTTATAGAATGGAATTTTAGTTAACTATGTAAAGTTTCTTTAAATATTTATTTTTTAGTTATAGTTGGACACAACACCTTTACTACTTTTATTTTATTTTTATGTGGTGCTGAGGATCGAACCCAGGGCTTCACACGTGGTAGGCAAGTGCTCTACTGCTGAGCCACAACCCCATCCCAACTATCTAAAAATGTTTTAACCTGCCTAGCCATCTAATTAATGAAACATTGGTAAAATAATTAATGCTTGAAGGCAAAGAAAAATGCTGTGGTGGCTGGGAACATGGTATAATATCGTTTTAACTATCGAAACAGATTTAATCTGTTAAAGTAAACACAAAACGTTCTAATTTTATCTCAAACCACTTTTCTTTTGGATGAAGGCCAATGTCATTTTAATTCAGCAAATAGAGAACAAACATTGTGCAAGACACCAGGGATACAGACAGGAAAAAAGACAGTCCTTGTCTTCTAGGAGCTTACAATCTAAATGTTATGCTGGACATGTATAAATAAGTAAATGTAGTTAAGTGGTACAGGTATTAAGAAAGATTCTAGTGTGTGCTCCGTAGGGGCATAAAGGAGGAAAAAAAAAGTTTTGCCTGAGGCTAGTGGTAGGGCAGCTTTCAGAAAAGGATTCCATGAGGGTGATGCTTGAGCTGAATTTCATTCTGAAAGATGAGGAAACTTAGTGTAACACAGGAAAAGCATTCTAATCAGAAGAAATAGAAATGAACCAAGGTATGGCTGTATAAAATATAAATGCACAAACACTTCAGTATGACTGTGAGGCGAACTATGGCAAGAGATGAATCTGGGGTCAGAATATAGAATTCCCTTTTTACCCTGCTAAGGAGCTTGGACTTGATCCTTTTGCTTTGATGATTACGCTTTTAAGAAGTGAGGTAGTTCCCTTTAGAATTTTAGAAAGAACATTCTGATAACAATGTTAAAGATAGGGTAAAGGGCTGAGAATGGAGGCAGGGAGACCAGATAAGAAATTTTTTAATTGTCAAAGCAAAGGGATGACAGGACCTTATGCAAGACAATGACCAGAAAACAGAGCGGAAGGGACTAATGCCAGATAGGTTAATCAGATAGAGACTGAGAAAACTTGGAATCTGATTGGTTGTGAGGACCAAGGAAGAGGACAGGTCTAGAAGGGAGAATAAGATGAGTAGATTGAGCTGTAATATCCCTGTAGATACATTAAGGGAGTCATTTGACCTTATAGCTCTGAAACTTGAGAGAGATACCCCTGGGCTGAGATTTAGGCTTGAGATATCATCTATAAGTTAACAGTTCTAGCCATAACCATGGGCATCTTGGACCATTAGGCAAATTTTCTCTCTAACATAACTAGTTGGTGTGTTTGGAATAGAGAGGTAAAAAGGCTTTTGATATTATTTTGAGGTCTTCCACTATAGCACATAATGAGTGGTTTCCTTTTTCTTATTTCTCAGGTTGGGTTGTTAGGATTTGCTTAGTTCAAAAATGCATCATGGCCTACAAAGAGTGCTAAAGGGATTCTCAGGGATGTTCTACATGGAAATTCATGTTTGGTTGGCTGCTGCTCTTCTCTGTCTTCCATCGAACTATCTAGATTTCTATGCCATTGTGAATGGTTGTTTTCTTCTTTTTTTTGTATCATCATTATACTGGGGTTTAGTGCCAATGATTTCCCATCTATTGGTTATATTGCCATGGGATTGAGCTGTGCCTCATTATTCCACTCCACAATTTCAGTGTTTTCCTGAGTTGATAAAAGGATTTATAAGGATTTGGCCTCTGTGTCACTGTTGCTTTTATATTACAGGTTGTGCCATGAGTGGGCTAATTGCTGATGCTAAGACTTTAATCGATAAGGCCAGAGTGGAGACACAGGTAAATAGCATCTTTTCTACTTTTTTACTCTGATGCTTAAGTTCCTTGTGTATTGGTGATAAAGCTTCCTGGGCTACATTTCATGTGTCAGTATTAGTTGCAGCACTTGGGAATGATTTTGGGTAGAATCCCCACTTCCTGGGGCTTAGATTTAGCTACCTAATCATTGCAGTTTTAAGGAAGCTCTGGTCAATAGAGGTGACAGTCTTCGTCTTCTTGATTCATCATATATAATGCATACATTACACTGCATTCTGTTCCCTCATTGACTTTCTTTGGGAGCCCCGTGGCAGGAAGTGGTCATAGTTAAGTAACATTCTCCCTACAACCGCCTTTCCTGCCATCTTGTAGGTAACTTCTTCTCTGGTAAATAATGAGTTGTATTAGGCAACAAATACTTGTTAGGAATGCTGGGGGTTTTATTTTATTTTTAGCTGTGTACCTATAGCCTAGAGAGTAGGCTAATAAGGAAAAAAAAATATCTCAAGGTAAAATTTTTTGCCTTTATTCACAAATTTGTCAGTACTTAAGTAATAAGTACTTTATAACAGAATTATAAGATAGAATCTTTGACCAGGGAAAGTGGTACTTGATATAGCATTTGCTGTGTGAGAAGACTAAACTTGGTGTTTGTAGGAGTTAACCCTTTTTTTTCAAAGGAGTAACCCTCTAGTTCAGTTCTTGCTTAGTCCTTTTGATATGTTTATTTCCAGAGCTATTTCTCTTGCAGTTCCAAACAACCATAGTCTAGGAAAAACATGCTTGAGCCTTCAGTTTCCAATCACATTTCAAAGGGATAAGCAGTAAGATGGTGGACTACCTTAATTCCCTTCTTATTAGAAAGGTATACCATTTTGTGCTCTTCCCCCAGAACCATTGGTTTACCTACAATGAGACAATGACGGTAGAGAGTGTGACCCAGGCTGTGTCCAATCTGGCCCTACAGTTTGGAGAAGAAGATGCAGATCCAGGTGCCATGGTGAGTGTGATGCTTGTGTTGAACTCACTCACTGTTCTGTAGAACTTGGAACATTTGTTCTCGGTACATACCTTTCCCAGCCTCTCTCACCTGCTTAATTTATAGCCACTTATCATAATACTGCTTCTTTTTGGTTCTAGTCTCGTCCCTTTGGAGTAGCACTGTTGTTTGGAGGAGTTGATGAGAAAGGACCCCAGCTGTAAGTACCATTTTGCCATCGTTTCTTCCTTTTTGGGGGAGAATAGTAATTATTTTAATTTGGATCAGGGGCTAGTAGTGTAAATCAACTAAGAAATTATTTTAGATTTGGAAAAATAGAAGGGCTTTTAGTTCTAAAGTTTGGTGGCTGTGCTGTTTATACAAACAAATTTGGGGATGTGTGAAGAACTCCACGATTGGAACCAGTGCTAATTCTGGAAAAAATTAGAGGTAACCTTATTACTAAAGTCAGGATATGTTTTAGAGTTTTTCTTTGGAGTGTGGATCTGATTCTCATTCTCAAATATTAGATAGGCATACACAAGTGCCAATTTATATATACCATACTTCTCTTCTAAATCCTGAGGACATTAGCAATTTTCTTATATCCTTTTTTAAAAGATCTAGCCTTTTAAAAAAGTTTTTCAAAACATAGAACATCTTTTTGGAGCTGTGCCTCAATATTTCAGTGGCATTCCCTTAATACAGGGCCAAGCATTTGTATTTTTTTTAATATTTATTCTTAAGTTTTAGATGGACACAATATCTTTATTTTACATTTATGTAGTGCTGAGAATCCAACCCAGTGCCTTGTGCATGCTAGGCAAGCACTCTACCATTGACCCACAACCCCAGCCCCTGTATTTTTATTTATTTATTTTTTTAGTGAGATGTTTGTTGCATAAAATGCCACCGCTCTTAAGCATTTTAATTCTCCTTTTGGGGTTTTGCAGGTTTCATATGGACCCATCTGGGACTTTTGTACAGTGTGATGCTCGAGCAATTGGCTCTGCTTCAGAGGGTGCCCAGAGCTCCTTGCAAGAAGTTTACCACAAGGTAATCAAGCATTCTCACAACTTTTATTACTATATTTTAAGTAAAGGCATAATTTACATGCAATAAAATGTATAGACCTTAAGAGTTCAGTTCTAAGGCTAGGGTTGTAGCTCAGTGGTAAATTAGCACATGCGAGGCCCTGGGTTCGATCCTCAGCACCACATGAAAATAAATAAAATATTTTAAAAAAAAAAAGTTCAGTTCTATAAGTTTTGACTATTGTGTATACCTTTAGAACCAGAACTGAAAACAAGATATAGAATACTTCCCTCAACCCCCATCACCACACACTACCATTGACTGACTTCCCTTCATGAAAGATTTCTCTGTAGCGTGTGATGCTGTCTGATAGCATTTGTCCACACAGCTTCTTTCAAAATTGGAGTCAAACTCTGCTGCTGCTTCATCAACTAAATTTATGTAATATTTCAAATTGTTGAAATTTTCAACAGCATTCATAGGACCTTCATCAGGAGTAAATTCCATCTTAAGAAACCACTTTTTTTGCTCATCCTTGAGAAGCAACTTCTCATCTGTTAGTTTTGTCACAAGATTACAGCAATTCAGGCACATCTTCAGACTCCATATCTAATTGTAGTTTGTTGCTATTTCCACCACATCTGCAAATCACTTCCTTTAATGAAGTCTTGAACCCCTCACAATTATTCAAGAGGACTGGAACCAACTTCTTTCAAACTCCTGTGAATTCAGTATGTTGAGCTCCTTCCATGAAACATGAATGTTCTCAATGGAATCTAGAATGGTGAATCTTTCCAGAAGATTTCATTTATTTTGCTTAGATCCATCATAGGAAGCTATACTCTTAAAAGCTGTTTTTTAAATGTTAAGACTCAAAAGTTGAAATTATTCCTTGATCTAAAGGCTGTGGAATGGGTGTTGTGTTAGCAGGCATGAAAACAGAATTAATCTGATTGTACATCCCCATCAAACTATTGCATGACTGGGTACATTGTCAACTGGCAGTAAGATTTTGAAAGGAATCTTTCTGAGCAGGAGGTCTCCATTGTAATCTTAAGATATTCAGTAAACTTTGTTAACAGATGTGCTGTCACATAGGCTTTGTTCCTTTTTCAACGAGTATAAGCAGACTGAATTTAGTATATTTCTTTAGTATATTTCTTAAGGGCCTAAAGAGTTTTAGAATGGAATTGGGCATCAGCTTCAACTTAGTTACCAGCTGCATTAACTTATTTACCAGCTGTAACAAGAGAGTCATTCTGTTTTTTGAAGCTAAACACTGATTTCTCTGTAGCTATGATGAAGGTAATAGATGGCATCTTCCAATATAGACTTTTTCATCAACATTGAAAATCTGTTGGTTAGTGTAGCCACCTTTGTCAGTGATCTTAACTAGATCTGGATAAATTGCTTCAGCCTCTACATTAGAACTTACTTTTTCACCTTTCTTTTCTTTTTTTTTTAAATATTTTTTTAGTTACTGATGAACCCGTATTTTATTCATTTATTTATATGTGGTGCTGAGAATCAAACCCAGTGCCTCACACATGCCAGGCAAGTGCATTACCGCTGAGTCACAGCCCCAGCCCCTCACCTTGCTTTTTTATGAATCTACTTCTACTAGCTTCTAATTCTTCTTCTGTAGTGTCCTCACCCTTCCGTAGCCTTCGTAGAATAGAAGACAGTTAGGGCCTTGCTCTGGTTTAGGCTTTGGCTTAAGGTAATGTTGTGGCTGGTTTCATCCATCCAGACTATTAAAACTTTTCTTCATACCAGCCATAAGGCTATTTCACTTATCATTCGTGTATTCAGTGGAGTAGCACTTTTAATTTCCATCAAGAGTTTATTTCCTCTGCATTTTCAGCTTGGCTAGCTGTTTGGCACAAGAGGCTTAGCTTTTAGCCTGTCTGTGCTTTTGATATGCCTCCCTCACTAAGCTTAATCATTTCTAGCTTTTGATTTAAAGTAGAGACAAACAACTCCTCCTTTCACTTGAACACTTAGAGGCCATTGTAGAGCTATTAATTGGCTTAATTTCAGCATTATTGTGTCTAAGGGAATAGGGAGGCTTCAGGAGAAGGAAAGAAATGATGTAATGGCTGGTCAGTGGAGTAGTCAGAACACTTGCTATATTTATCAGTTAGATTCATCATATATATTTTTTTAATTTMTCATGTGGGATTGGTTTGTGCTAATCCAAAGCCATTACAATAGTAACATCAAAGATCACTGATAAAAGATCTCCATAACAATGTAATACTAATTAAGTTTGAAGTGTTGTGAGGATTCCCAAATTGTGACACACAGACACTTAAGTGAGCACATGCTGTTAAAAATGTTACCAGCAGACTTGATCAGTGCAGGATTGACACAGCTGTATTTGTAAAAAATATAGTATCTGCTAATACAGTGAAATAAGGTGTGCCTGTAATGTTGATCTTACATGTGGAGAAAATTAGGTACACACAGGATATAAAAAGAGTGGGTTTTCTAAACCATTTGGGCATTATTATCTATGAGAGATCACTAATATTATGTTATCTTCTAAATTAAAAAGGAATTCAGATATACACTAGAGAGTGCTGCCCCTTCAACTTCCTTAAAGGTCATTTACTGTATGAAAGTTGGTGATTCTGTGGTTCATAATGAGGCATTTTTTTCTCCGAATAAGTATATTCTAACTACTTACCATTTGCCTGAATTTTGGAGATGGTTATAGTGCCCTGCACAAATTAATGTTTGATTTATTAATATTTGCTAAATAATTTCTTCAGGGGATAAAAGGGAAATCTGAAGGAAGGAGGGATTATATACAATTAATCGCTCATTTTCTCACCCTTTTTGTTTCAAGTCTATGACACTGAAAGAAGCCATCAAATCTTCACTCATCATCCTTAAACAAGTAATGGAGGAGAAGCTGAATGCAACTAACATAGAGGTATTTTTCTATTTTACTGTTTTTTTCGGATATCATAACCCCCATTGCTGAAGATTGACTGGATCAAGAAAATTATATATGCTCAGTCTTTAGGATATTGATAGCATTTCAATAAGTAGCTACAGTAAAGTGGTGATGAAAGAAGCCAGAGTTCAGTGAGTTAAAGAGTGAAAGGGAGGTGATGAGGTAGAAAACACAAGTATGCTGCTATGTCGAGAAGACTGATTAATGTGATCAGAAGACAGCATTAAAGAAAATGACTTTGTCTTCTTAAGGATGGGAAAAACTTAAATACTTTTTTAAACTGAGGAAACTAGTGGATAAGAAAAATGTTAAAAAAAAAAGATGAGATTCAATGGTGATAGAGAAGTTCTAGAAGAGGGAAGACATGGTACAAAGGAAGGAGTTGGTTTCAAAAAGTAATATTGGGGCTGGGGTTGTAGCTCAGTGGCAGAGTGCTTGCCTAACGTGTGAGGCACTGGGTTTGATCCTCAGCACCGCATAAAAATAAACAAATAAAGGCATGCTGTCCATTTACAACTACAAAAATAAATAAGTAAAATTAGTTCAGCATCATGAGTAGCCCTCTATATAGCAAATTCTGTGCCAAATGCCAGGGATACGTAACAGAAATTTCAATACTTAATTAGGTAGTACTGCGCAGTATAGAGAAATATGGACAATAAGAGCCTAGGGTGAAACTTCTAAAGAACAGATTAACTTGTGAACATATAACTTAGAACATTAGGAAAACATCCTAGAAGAGGTAATGATGTCTGGAGAAAGGGAGCAAACGGGTATTTCAGGAAGAGGGAGCAATATGTGCAGAGGCTCAAAGATGTAAAATAACTGTTTAAAATGGAATTCCAAGGTTTTTATCTAACTGCTGGGTGTGGGATGTATGGAAGATAGGAGAATGGCAAGATATAAGATTGGAGATACATGGACCAGATGGTGACAGGTTGGTTTGGAGGTAAATTGGGAGAGATGTTCTTTATTTGCTTATTGTTAGGTTACCTGCTGAGCAAGGGTGAATGCAATAGTGAAGTTAAGAATGGGAAATATTGGGCTGGGGTTGTGGTTCAGTGGTAGAGCACTTGCCTGCATTGCCTGAAGCATTGGGTTCATTGCCCCGCACCACAGGAAAAAAAATAAATAAAATAAAGATATTGTGCCCATCAACTAAAAAAATACTTTAAAATAAAAAAAATGGGAAATATTTGGAAAAGTCATTATAGGTAGAGAAAAGGGAAGATGGAGATGAGTTAAAAGGATTACTGGGTTACCTCAGAACACTAGCTGAAGCTGGAATCAGGGGACAGATTGTTCTTAAGTCAGGATAGAGCTTACCCTTGGAGGAATAGTGTCTTAGTCAGCTTTTTCACTGCTGTAACAAAGACCTGACCAGAATAATTTTAGGGGGAAAAAATTTATTTGAGGGCTCACGGTTTCAGAGGTCTCAGTCCATGGACAGCTGGCTCCATTCATTGCGGCTCAAGATGAGGAAGAATGTGACAGAAGAAAGCCAAGAGAGACTCTGCTCGCCAGATACAAAATATATACCCCAAAGGCGTGCCTCCAGTGACTCACTTCCTCTCGCCATATCCTACCACTTACCACTTAGTTAATCTCATCAGGGAATTAATTCATTGTTTGGGTTAAGGCTGTCACAACCCAGTCTTTGCTCCTAAACCTTCTTGCATTGCTCACATATGAGCTTTTGAGGGACACCTCACATCCAAACCATAATACATAGTATATATTTATATTATATATAAATACATACATATATATACACACACACACACACACACACACACACACACACACACACATACACGCGCATGTATATTTTTACATACGTGTGTGTGTGGGTGTATAAAAATCCTTTTTTGTGGTGCTAAGGATCCAACCCGTGTTCTCACGCATGCCAGGCAAGAGCTCTGCCACTGAGTTATATCCCCAGCCCTAAATATTATATTTCAGTTAAAAATTTTAAAGTCCAACTAATGCAGTAATCATAAATCAGTAATTAAACCAATCAGTACCTACCAGAATGTTAGCCTCACTCATGAGAAAATGGATGGTTGGATTAATGCCCAATGGGGATTGACTAGTTAAGAACAGAAGAGTGAAGAATACTTAGGAATGTTGTTGGTAAATGTCTCACCAGTATACTCACTTCATAGGCTGTCATGAAGGGGACAAAAGAAGAGACTAGCCTAGAATTGGGAGTTTGAGAGTGTGGTAAGGGAGTTTGGCTTGCTCCTCAAGCAGTGGAGGGAGAAGAGTTTAACATAGTTCTTTAGTGAAAAAACTTAATTCATAAATACAATGTTTTTTGTTTTTTTTTTTAAACCTTCTTAACAAGGATTTGAAAATACTTCCACTTCTCCCCTGTCTCTGAAATGACGAGGTGCAATAATAGTATGATACTCCCAACTCAATCCTTAGGAAGGATTTTATCAGTTCCTTTCTAGAACTTTGTTTTCTTTGGTACTGAATAAGAGTGTCTTAGCATTTTTACTAAGACTATGTCCTTGCCACCTCAGAAGAATTCAAATGTAGCTCTTGATTCCATAGCAAAGGCTCTGAGGCCTATTTGGTTCAACTGAAACTACAAAGATGTTTTCTTGCTTGTTTGCTTTCAGTGACACTACAGTGTTGCTTTGCAGTGAGCATCACATGTGGCTCTGTCATTAATCTCCCTGATAATAGATTTCTTCACATTAAAAAAGGGCACTTCCTTGGGCCTGGGATTGTGGCTCAGTGGTAGAGCACTTGCCTAGCACGTGTGAGGCCCTGGGTTCGATCCTTAGCATCACATAAAAAAAAAGATATTGTGTTCAACCACAACTAAAAAGTAAATATTTTTTTAAAAAAGGGGCACTTCCAATTGTTCAAGACTATTCATTCCACCATGCTTTCTAAGCCTGTCTGCCTATAAGAGTCTTTGGAAATGAAGTTCAGAGATCTGTATTTTGGAAAGCTCCTGTAGTAACTCTGATGGTCAGTCTAAGAAGACCAGCATGAGGGTCGAGCCTTTCCTCTAGAGCCCTTCCTTTCCTGTCTCCCTTATGTTCTCATGACTCTAGTGTTTCCATGAGAAAGGGAAGATTGGATTCTGTAAAACTTCCTGTTTGTCAGATTATCTGGTCATTATTATTTGAAATTTCTGAAGCATTCATCTCAAATATGACAATTCCAAAATTAAAATTTTCTTTCCAGAAAATCGTTTCTTCTTCTTCTTCTTCTTCTGTTTCTAATGCTAGTTGATGATAGCACCCATGTTTTTGTCATTCATACCAAAACCTGAAATATTTTGATTTCCCTTTTTCTTTATTAAATTGTGTTTTACCCCTTTGTAAAAATAATTCTCATGTAAATACCCCTTCTCAATTCTTATTTCAGGTACCTTCTTTTGTTCAGGTCCCCATTTTGCATTTCCCTTATATATTTTTCAGAGGTCTTGTAACTAGTTTTCCCTTCCTACAGCCTTGCTCTCCTCCGTTTCAACCCATTTTTCCCCCTCATTCTTGTGCTACTGAAGTGAATTTTTCAATTCACATCCAATATTAATTGTTATCCACTTTAAAAATCTTATCTTACTCCTAATGTGTACAGGATAAATTCCAAACTTCTTTTTATGGCAATTTAAGTCATATGTCTAATCTGTTAGGTACTTTGTTAAGCATTTTACATGTATATCTTTTAATCCTCACAACTCTTAAGATAGGTGTTCCTGTTTTCATTTTACAGATGAGGAAACCGAGGCTTTGGTAAATAGTAACTGGTACCATTTGGTAAATGGTAACTGGTAGATGGTAGAGTCAGTATTTGCACCCAGGTCTGTACTTTTAGGTCCTGTACTTTTAACCACTATAAGATACTCATCTGTGAGCTCTGACCCCCACCTCGCATCAAGGCCCTCTCATTTCATCTTACTCCATGTGCATCCTCTGCTACAGCCATATACAGCATTTGTTTTGCAAATACATCATGTTTCATGCTTTTATGCATTGGTACAATGAGTCTGCCCATCGTCTCGTTGGCTGTCTGACCCATTCTTGCCATTCTTCAGTATACTACTATTCAAAGGTTTTTTCTCCTTGATGCCTTCCTGGGCTCCTTGGTCACTCTTTTATGTATGTTAAGCTTTATTATAACACTTAACTGACATTGAAAGCTTTTAGCATCCAGTGCCCTTAATAAAAGATAGATTTTTCTTCATCTTTGGATCTTTAGTCCCTTGTACAACTGCATCTAGTATTCAAATTAATTATTATTATTATTATTTTTTTTTTTTTTTAGAGAGAGAATTTTTAATATTTATTTTTTAGTTCTCGGCGGACACAACATCTTTGTTGGTATGTGGTGCTGAGGATCGAACCCGGGCCGCACGCATGCCAGGCGAGCGCGCTACCCCTTGAGCCACATCCCCAGTCCTCAAATTAATTATTGATGGTGTAAATGAAAGAAAATATCTATTATACCTGCTTCACAGGTTTTTTGCAAGCAAGAATATAGAAAAATGTGCCTCCTATTCATTATGTAAATAACATCATTATGTAAATGTAAATTTTTCTCATCTAATGATGAGTAACTACCTGAAGGTGATACTTGGTTTAAACCCTATTATTACTGATTTGCATCTTAGTTCTGTAGGACTGTTCTATACAGAGTTTGCCCAATTTCTATATTTTAACTCTTGTAATATTATGCAAACGTATTTGGGACTCCTGACATTTTGTGTAATTGGATATATCTTTTGGTAGACTCCAGAGGAGACTGCAGGCTTTTAGAGAACTTTTTTTTTTTTTTTAAGTTGTTCCCAGAGTAGATTTCTTAAGATGTGCAACAGTCTTTTTTTCTGAGTTTTACTTACAAATGAGGCAGGAAATAATAAACATCATGTAACTGGGTTATGTTAATTCTGCATGGCAACTTTCAAATTATATTAATTCAATCCCTGGTACCAAAAAGAATTAAAAAAAAAAAGAAACTTAATCAGCTTCATCAGTAATGAATATTACTTAAAAATGCCCTAGTATATTTAATTTTAAAATTTTAAAAAAAAAAGGAATGGCATTTAAAACAAACATAAAGGCTTTGCAGCAAATGTGAAATGATACCTTTTCTTCAGGATTGACCAAAAAATATGGGACTGTGATCATCACAATAATGGAAAATATAGTAAAGTTAAATTTGAAGCCATCTTTTGACCCTTGTTTTTTGTTGGTTTAATAAATTATAATCTGAACTGTTTGTAATTTTTAATATCATCAGTCACTACTGACTTCCTGTGCCATTTTTTATGGAGTCTTTTCATGGTCAGTCCTTTTAAAAAACAAAGCAAACCTTTCTGTTAAGTTGCCACACATACAGTTCTAGAGAAAATATCTAACAATAATAGTTAGCAATTATTTGGTGTTTCTTATGTTAATCCTCAAAACTAATCTATAAGTAGTATTATTATCCCCATTTTACAGATGAGGAAATAAAGGCACAGAGTGGCCAAGTCATACACAGAAGTATATGCAAGTATATAAATACACTTTAAATATATTTCTATAGGAATCCTTAACAGAAAAAGAGTACTGACTCCATGTACTTTGCTGCTAACTTCAAGAATTAACAGTGATGCCAGGCATTTGGTTAACTATTACATTGTAGGTTAACCTCAAAATAGAAAATTTGGTCAATAAGAGTTTTTATTTTGTAGTCAGAGAGCTATTTTAGGGACCTGCTGCCTGGAAAGGATATCCCTGGGACAGCAGATCCCTTAGTTCCTAATGAACAGCTGCATCACCAACACAGTTTTCTCCTGACCATGCTAGGGCTATCATCAGGGAATCAAGCCCAACTTATAAACCCCTTTCTGTTTTCTTTCCAGCTAGCCACAGTGCAGCCTGGCCAGAATTTCCACATGTTCACAAAGGAAGAACTCGAAGAGGTTATCAAGGACATTTAAGCAAGAGTGATCCTCAGAACTACTCTGGGACAATTTCAGTTCTCCAGTTGCCCTTAAGTTTTACTTCCAGCTCCTATTCCTTGGAAAATCTCCATTGTCTGTGCATTTTTTTTTATGATGTCTGTACATAAAGGCAGTTCTGAAATAAAGAAAATTTTAAAATATGTGTTAATGGTCTGTCCTCTTATAATGTTTGAAATGCTTACATTAGCAGGCAAAAAGGATAGGGTATTAATATCCTTATCCTGTGTGAGTGCCTGTTCTAAAATTATTTTAGTTGCTCTCTCCAACAGTCAACTCTAGCCACAATTCCTTGGTGCTGATAAATGAACTCAAACTAGCCCAGCTCCTCCCAGTGGTTAATAGATGTTAATACCACTGTAAATCCATTTAAGTCCTGTAGTTTCTCTTAAATAAGTATGTATTTTTTGCTGCATTTCTTTATATGAAGGAAATGCAACTAATTGACCATCAAAAGAGCATGTTTTGGAGTCCTCAAAAGAGTGATGGTTTGGGATAAGCCATCTCTAGAGTTCTTAGTTCTTGTGCCTTGGTGGACAGTTTAGAAGGAGTTTTCCCTTTTTAGGAAGTTAAGAACTATGAAGGGGCTGGGGTTGTGGCTCAGTGGTAGAGGGCTTGCCTGGCATGTGTAAGGCCCCAGGTTTGATTCAGCTCTGCATATAAATAAGTAAATAAATAAAGATAAAGGTCCATTGATCAAAAAGAAGGAAAAATAGGGCTGGGGATGTGGTCCAGTAGCTGAGTGTTCCTGAATTCAATCCCTGGTACCAAAAAAATTAAAAAAAAAAAAAAAAGAAACTTAAAAATTAAATTCATGATCTTGGCCTCAATGGCAATCATTTACAGATCTCAGCCATATCAGTAAAAGAATTGTAAAATTCAGAAGTGGTTTACATTAGACTTTGGAATGCACTATGAACTTCCCTCATTAGAGCTGCCATCATATGAGTGGTTAAGATTGTTTAAAGAATCATTCTATTTGACCCTCAAATATAATAATAGCAAATAAGTATCATTGTTACTAGCTAACAGGTGTAGAATCTAAGGCTGTGTGTCCATGAATTGGAATCTGACTTGAACTCATTTTCTGGTTTCAAATCACTAGCCCTTGGATAATAGGGAAATCTCAGAGAGATTTGAAATGTACATGCACGTATGTGCAGTTTACCTAACTCACATGTAAATGATGCAGAATTGATTGAAATTCACTAATGGGGACCCAGGATGACTTGCTGGGCTCTGTATTCATTAGGAAGTCATACTCATGTGAGAATAGTGACCTGAGTAAGCAGAATACATATGAAATTCCTACTGTGGTTGCAGGGGGAAAAAAAAACTTCATATGCATTTGGAAACTACAATAACAGGAAGTATTTGGAAGAAAGTTTTGGCCTAGACCTACACAAGGAAAGTACAGAACTAGAGTATATTATCACCAAAGTTCTAGACTGTTCTGGCGATTTTAATCCTATTGTTTTATTAAGATTATGAGACTAATTTAGCTCATATCACTTAGTTTTATTAAACCCTGATAGGAAGTAGCTTTGAAATATCCTATTTCAACTTTCATTTATTCATTTAACACATTTATTGAGAATCGCCTTCAATATGCCAAGTAATGTATTAAGCATTGGGGATCTGGGAAAGTGCTATCTATGGTCTTCATATAAATTTACTTCTAGTGTGAAGAACCAGGAAATAAATTATATTCCCTTGTAACGCTGTAGGTTAATGCTGAAATGTATAAAGCACACGCAGCTTTGGAGAGGTGAGTTATGTTTTTGAATCATGTGCATTGTGTAGAGAAAGTAAACATTAAGGAGTAGCTCTTAGCCCAACTCTCAGCTTCAACTTGCAATGATTTTCCCTTTCAACTGCCTTAGCCTATTAATTGAGAAAAGAGTAAATTTCATACTCTATTATATGCATTCTTCAAAGAGGTAAAACTGATTTTCTGTAGAATATTAAAACAAGTCCTCTTGTGTCAGAGAAATGATCTTACTAGGAAAGGCAGTGTATTTTTCGTGAGGTATATTCATTCATGTAAGAAACTAGCAATGCAATTTTGTGTTTTGTGCAGTGTAATTAGATAAAAAGTGAAATAGGAAAATACTTTTTCACTCAAAACATTTTCTTAGTGCATCAAGGGTAGATAAAAAGGGAAAAGAGAATTGCCCGATGCCTACTTTTTACATAATCATTTCATAGATGCATATTTATTTACCAAAGTGCAAATGCAAATTACCATGCCACCTGCAGTGATGCAGTTTGAGGAAATATCTACTGTAGACATGTAAGTAAAAGCAGCACATTAGAAAGCACAGGTAGTACAAATTTAATAGTTTAAAAAGTATATTTGGTAATTTCTCCAGGAGATGGCACTGTTGAGTTTACTTCTTTTCAGACAGTAAGACAATAGACCATTCATCTTTGTCACCCAAACAAAGAAATATTCGTTTATAGCCTCTCTTCTCCCTCCAACTAATCACATGCTACTGGAACTGACTGTCTTGTGATCTATTCCATAGTTGGCATAGATTAAAAATTAATCTATTTAAAAAAATAATTTGACACATAATAGTTATAGAAAAGGTACAAATTGTTCACCAGTTTTCATCAGCTATATCTTGTCAGTTCAGTAGCTGAGAACTTGAAGGACATTCTGCTGATTGTCATCCTGTCCTGATGACATTCAAAAACTTTTCACTTCTCACTCTGGTTGTTTGGGGGAAAAATGTAAATTGGAAGATGTTTTGTTTGCAAGTTAACTTGACCAGTATCTTGATTTTTATTTTGGGTTGGGTGCACTGCAGCATTTTGCTCTCCAATGACTATAGTTTCATCTGGGTTTACTGCCAGCTTAAAGAAATTTTTGGTGGCTTTCTTTGGGTGTAACGTTTTACATATTTTGAATCTATTTGTTACCTTTTCTACTGAACAACTTCTAACATTTAGAAAGAATGGAGTCGGTAAGGTTAAGGATTCAGAACTGGTTTTACCTGTGTTGCATGTTGTAGAAGTTGTGTGCGCAAGTTTTTGTGGTAAAGAAGCTGTGGTAAAGGGAACAGTGTAGGGATTTTATTTATCGGAGGAGGGCTGCTATACAGGACTCTTATTCTGGAACCAAACTTATTCAATACACTCATTGCAGGGTTGAGGCACTTTGGTAAATAAATATGCATATATGAAATGATCATGTATAAAGTAGGCCTCGGGCAATTCTCTTTTCCCTTTTTATCTACCCTTGATGCCTAAGCAACGTTCGAAGTCCAGGAAAACCAATAAATAATTCCGCCTTTGGCCTACCTCCCTGCAGAAAAGGAGGGGCCAGTGAGGCCAAACGTGGTGGAAAGACTTTTCTTGAGGCTTGGGTGAGTCACGGGTGTCCTTCTATCTGCCTCGTTAGGATTTGGCCCACATCAGTTCCCGTTCACCTTGTCAGCAAGTCTGCAGCTTCAGCAGACAATGGGCGCAGCCGTGAGCCCGGGTTAAACCTGAAGCACCAGTTCCTGAAGAAGCCCCCTTTTCCAGCTGAGCGAGTTGAGGGATTCCCTAAGGAGATTTCCCAGCGCTGCCTCAACCAGGGGAATTTTAGGAGTGTTTCTGGGGGAAAGGGGGGAATTACCCAGCCCCAACTCGAGGGCGTCAGAGGAGCAGCAAGGAGTCGGAGCACCGCGGAGCTGGGGGATTCGCGGGAAGGTGGGGAGAGCTCCTCCGCGAACTCTGGAAGCCGGAGCCCGGAGACGCCGTGCGAGGGTGGGGAATGACCTCAGCCTTCTCTGCCACGTTCCAGCCAATCAGTCCCGCATCTTGGCATCCGAATCCAGGACCCCCGAAGCCGGAGACGACGCGAGCCAATGAGGAGTGGGCCAGGGAAGAAGGACAGGCGGCCAGCCTATGCGGGCGGAGAGGCCCGGCTGCGCGTATCCAAGGAGCGCCAGGCTCGGGCTCGGGGGTGTGGCGCAGCGCCGGCGGGGGTGGGCGGGCGCGCCGGGTGGCAGGTGTCAGCGGCGTCGGCATTCGGCGGCGATGGAGCGGCCCCGGGGAGCTGCGGACGGCCTCTCGCGCTGGCCCCACGGCCTCGGCCTCCTCTTCTTCCTGCAGCTGCTGCCGCCGGCGACCCTGGGCCAGGACCGGCTGGACGCACCGCCGCCGCCGGCTGCGCCTCTGCTGCGCTGGTCCGGCCCCGTCGGAGTGAGCTGGGGGCTGCGCGCGGCCGCGGCCGGGGGCCCGATCCCCCGCGTTGGCCGTTGGCGCCGCAGCGCGCCCGGTGAGGACGAGGACTGCGTTCGGGTCCCAGACTTCGTGGCGAAGCTAGCCAACAACACGCACCAGGTGAGCGGGCGCCGGGCCCGGGCGCCGCCCGGACTGTGAGGTGCCGCCCCTGGCCCCTCGCGGCTGCCCGTCGGCTGCGTAGCCGGCCCCGCTTCCTGCCGGGCTTCCCTGCTAGCGCGCGGCCAGGCTCCGCGGAGCAGGGGACCCCCAGCTGCGGCTCGGAAACTGCGGCGGGCGGAGTCGGCTTGGGCTGCGGCCCGCGGGGCTGTGTTTCGTCACAGGGGAGACAATCTTAGACTTTCATGGCATTCTTTTTTTTTTTTTTTTAAGTTGTCAAAATATATCTTGAGCGTCGTTGTTTCCTGTCTGTATAAATAATCAGATCCAGTAACACCGACCAGAAAGCTGGAGGAATAATTACCTCTTAAGTGCTTGCAGAAGTTGGGCTGCGCAGAAGCAGAGGTGTGTCCTCTCTGGATCAGTACTTTCAGGGTGGCGAGGCAGTGGTGAAATCCCAAAGCAGTTGTTAGGTCACTGCATGTATTTTAATAGTTAAAGGAACAAGCATGGAAATTAGATGACACTGAAACAGCTATAAAACAACTTCCTTGCTCCTAAAAATTGTTCAAGTTGTTTTTCAGGATGCAGGCGCAGAACCCTAGAACTTGACCCCAAATGACCTTGAGAGGCTGGCTGAACCAAATGTCCCATGAGTAGAACTTGAGGAATAGGGTCTCTCAGACCTATATTAGAAGTGAGGGACGTCTTCACCAGCTGCAAGACAATCTAGAATTATCCACAAGTTCCACCTGGATTGACTTCCTGGGTACAAACAGTTCCACCAAGATTCTGAGTCACAACCAATCATGT